ACGCTCCAACCCCACCCATCCCACGTTCCCCATACACCCCTTACACTTCCCTCCACCCCTCCAAGCTACCCCACACATCTCCACCCCCTCCTACCGGCAACACTCCCACATTCCATACACCTCCGCACCCCCTACACCCCCCGAACTCCCCCCCATACGCTCCAACCCCACCCATCCCACGTTCCCCATACGCCCCCTACGCCCGGCCGCTTCCCCCCACATAGCTCTACCCTCCTCCTAGCTACACCGTCACCACATCCCATACACCTCTCTCACCTCCCTCCAGCCGACACCAGCAGCAGCTACTCGGAACCGCCCGAGCGCGACCAGGGGCCCAGCCGTCTGCAACCCTCCCATTGGTCAGTATCGCCGCCAATCAGCGCCCAAGTCCCAATTGCCGCCCGGCCTCTCTGGCAAGGCACCCTGGGTGCTGTAGTCCGCGTCGTGTCTGCGGACCGGCGTGTTGCCTTCTGGGAAGGGTAGCGCTAGAGCGCCGGGCAGTCATTTTGAACAGGTCGAACTGGACGCGGAGCACCACGGGAGCTGTAGTTAAAGGGCGCTATGAGTCATAGGAGATGTAAAAAGAACAGGAGTACTTGTGGCTTCTTAGCCCTAGTCTACACTAAGAATTTAGGTCGAATTTAGCAGCATTAGATCGATTTAACCCTGCACCCGTCCACACGACAAAGCCATTTTTGTCGACTTAAAGGGCTCTTAAAATCGATTTCGGTACTCCTCCCCGACTAGGGGATTAGCGCTGAAATCGACCATGCTGGGTCGAATTTGGGGTAGTGTGGATGCAATTTGATAGTATTGGCCTCCGGGAGCTATCCCAGAGTGCTCCATTGTGACCACTCTGGACGGCACTTTCAACTCCGATGCCTGCCAGGTCGTCAGGAAAAGCCCACGAACTTTTGAATTTCATTTCCTGTTTGGCCAGCACAGGTGATCAGCGAGGTGATCAGCACAGGTGACCAAGCAGAGCTCATCAGCACAGGTGACCATGCAGTCCCAGAATCGCAAAAGAGCTCCAGCATGGACCGAACGGGAGGTATTGGATCTGATCTCTGTATGGGGAGATGAATCCGTGCTATCCGAACTCTGTTCCAAAAGACGAAATTTGAAAAAAATCTCCAAGGGCATGAAGGACAGAGGTTATAACAGGGACCCGCAGTAGTGCCACGTGAAGCCTACCAAAGAACAAGAGAGGCAAATAGCCACTCCGGGTCAGAGCCCCAGACATGCTGCTTCTATGGTGAGCTGCATGCCATTCTAGGGGGTGCCCCTACAACTACCCCACCCCTGTGCTTCCCTCCTCCCCCACCCCTCCCGGGCTACCTTGGCAGTTATCCCCCCATTTGTGTGATGAATTAATAAAGAATGCATGAATTTGAAACAACAATGACTTTATTGCCTCTGCAAGCGGAGATCAAAGGGGGGGAGGGGAGGGGAGGGCGGTTGGCTTACAGGGAAGTAGAGTGAACCAAGGGGGCGGGTTTTCATCAAGGAGAAACAAACAGAACTTTCACACCATAGCCTGGCCTGTCATGTCATGAAACTGGTTTTCAAAGCTTCTCTGATGCACAGCGCGCCCTGCTGCGCTCTTCTAACCGCCCTGGTGTCTGGCTGCGTGTAATCAGCGGCCAGGCGATTTGCCTCAACCTTCCACCCCGCCATAAACATCTCCCCCTTACTCTCACAGATATTGTGGAGCACACAGCAAGCAGTAATAACGATGGGAATATTGGTTTCGCTGAGGTCTAACCAAGTGAGTAAACTGTGCCAGCAAGCTTTCAAAAGTCCAAAGGCACATTCTACCAGCATTATGCACTTACTCAGCATATAGTTGAACTGCTCCTTACTACTGTCCAGGCTTCATGAGCCATGGGAGCAGGTTGGGGTAGGTGCGACCGCGCGGTGCTGCCAACTGGGAGAGCAGCCTGAGGCAGAAGCCTCCAGCTGGCATGATATTCCAGGCAGGACTAAATCTCCATTAGACGAAACTTAAAGAAGAGAATGACCTGGAGTCATTCCCGTTTTTGTCCAGGCGCTCCCGACCGATCTCACCAAGGCCGGCCAGGAGCACCCATATCTGCCCAGGTGCCCCTGACCAACCTAACCAAGGTCGGCCAGGAGCACCCACGGGACAATGATGAGGGTTAGCAGTCATATTGTACCGTCTGCTGTCCGCAGTGAGCTGAGCAGGCGCCATGCTTGCCGTGGTATGTCGTCTGCACGGGTAACCCAGGAAAAGAGACGAGAAATGATTTTTTGCTGTTGCTTTCATGGAGAGAGGGGGGCCTGATGACATGTACCCAGAACCCCCCGCGACAATGTTTTTGCCCCATAGGCATTGGGAGCTCAACCCAGAATTCCAATGGGCAGCGGAGGCTGCAGGAACTGTGGGATAGCTACCACAGTGCAACGCTCCGAAAGTCGACGCTAGCCTTGGTACTGTGGACGCACACCGCCGACTTAATGCACTTAGTGGGGACACACACAATCAACTGTATCAAATTGATTTCTAAAAAATCGACTTCTATTAAATTGACCTAATTTCGTAGTGTAGACATACCCTTACAGACTAACAAATTTATTTGAGCATAAGCTTTCGTGGGCTACAGCCCACTTCATCAGATGCATAGAATGGAACATATAGTAAGAAGATATATATACACATACAGAGAACATGAAAATGGAAGTTGCCATACCAACTCTAAGAGGCTAATTAATTAAGATGAGCTATTATCAGCGGGAGAAAAAAAACTTTTGTAGTGATAATCAAGATGGCCCATTTCAGACAGTTGACAAAAAGGTGTGAGGATACTTACCATGGGGAAATAGATTCAATTTGCGTAATGACCCAGCCACTTCCAGTCTCTATTCAAGCCAAAGTTAATGGTATCTAGTTTGCATATTAATTCAAGTTCAGCAGTTTCTCATTGGAGACCGTTTTTGAAGCTTTTCTGTTGCAAAATTGCCACCTTTAAGTCTGTTACTGAGTGACTAGAGAGGTTGAAGTGTTCTCCTACTGGTTTTTGAATGTTATGATTCCTGACATCAGATTTGTGTCCATTTATTCTTTTGCGTAGAGACTGTCCGGTTTGGCCAGTATACATGGCAGAGGGGCATTGCTGGCACATGATGGCATATATCACGTTGGTAGATGTGCAGGTGAACGAGCCCCTGATGGCATGGCTGATGTGATTAGGTCCTATGATGGTGTCACTTGAATAGATATGTGGACAGAGTGGGCTTTGTTGCAAGGATAGGTTCCTGGGTTAGTGTTTTTGGTGTGTGGTTGCTGGTGAGTATTTGCGGTTGGGGGGCTGTCTGTAAGCGAGGACTGGTCTGTCTCCCAAGATCTGTGAGAGTGAGGGATCATCTTTTGGGATAGGTTGTAGATCTTTGATGATGCGCTGGAGAGGTTTTAGATGGGAGCTGAAGGTGACAGCTAGTGGCGTTCTGTTATTTTCTTTGTTGGGCCTGTACTGTAGTAGGTGACTTCTGAGTACTCTTCTGGCTCTGTCAATCTGTTTTTTCACTTCAGTAGGTGGGTCTTGTAGTTTTAAGAATGCTTGATAGAGATCTTGTAGGTGCTTGTCTCTGTCTGAGGGATTGGAGCAAATGCAGTTTTATCTTAGAGCTTGGCTGTAGACAATGGATCATGTGGCGTGTCCTGGATGGAAGCTGGAGGCATGTAGGTAAGTATAGCAGATGGAGACAAACACCTACAAGATCTCTATGGGCCATCTTGATTATCACTACAAAAGTCTCCCCCCTCCCCCCCCGCTGATAATAGCTCATCTTACTTAATTAGCCACTTAGAGTTGGTAGGGCATAGGGTTACCATACGTCCTCTTTTTCACGGACATGTCCGGCTTTTCGGCACTCAAACCCCCGTCCGGGGGGAATTGC